ATTTTAAATTTTAAATTAAGATTAAATTATTAAAAGTTCAAAACTGTAAAATTCTCATTCTATAATTGAATACTAAATCTGAATAAAATTTAAAATATTTCTTAAAGTAAAATATACACAAACAAAGGATTAATTTTAGTAAGAGTAATGTTAGAAATGTGCAACTAGTGTGACAAAAAAACCACATTCTAATTCTTGAGTAGAAACGAACACACTATTTTTTTTTGATAAGCAACAAGGTTTGCCTTGTTTTAACTACCTAGTTTACTATAGTTTTTATTTATTTTGGTTTTTTATTTCCTCGTTCATTAATCTGAAATAATTTATAAACAACTTARATTTATATTATATTATATGTGAGTTCCTATTTTATATTTATGTGTTTATTATTATAAAGGTATTATATATTATATAACAATATTTTCATGTTGTAAGATTATTTATTTCTGCCACTATCCTCAAAAGACTTGGTAGCTATTGTGTTATATAGGTTAGATTAGTCTTTTGTATTTTTGAATAAATTTATCAGAGTTTTGGYGATAAAATATTTTATGGGTGAATTGTATTTCGTAGTTTGTGACGCTAATATTTGCATATTTTACGAATAATGTCCATTTCAAGTACCGCAGAATGGACTCTGTGTTGTTTACTGAGGTATTATAAAGAATACAACAAAAATGAAAACTATCAAATAAAAAGACAAGACATCTCTAAGTGTTAGTATTAAATTTGTTGAAAACACCATAGGCTATTACTGATATTCATTTAAAAAATATATCTGGCTTTCATTTTCACCACTATCACTCCCCACTACTCACACTTATACCACAGTCGTTATTTTCTGTCAAGCGAATAAAAAAAATAAATAATGATGTGTACTTTTTGTCGACTGTGTCGTGATCTTTCGTGGTTGGCTAAGGGCTAAACCCAACATTTATTAATGCTAGTTTTCAAGATAGGGTGTGGGTCAGGATTTACATTACAAATCGAGCCATTTGACTGGGCAATTAGTCGACGAAAATGACATTAAGGACGTGAAGTGAAAAATCCACCGCAAGATTAATCGCCATCAAGGTTTGGAAAAGCTAATACTTTTTTTTATCTTCTTCTTTTCATCGTTTTTTTCTCATTTGTGGATCTTGTATTATAGTGCTATGAATCTGATAGAAAAAAAAAATTAAACAGAGATAATATTTATGTACAGTTAGTAAACATATCGTCTTGTGTTATAATCTTTTATTGTTAAGTATAATCAACACAGTAGGTAATAGTTTATTGCACATGTTTTCATTTTGTTTTTATATTTATTTATTATTAGTTTTGTTTAATAAATCAGATAATTGAAAACTATTTTAAAATTATGAAAATAGTTTAATATAATGATAAAACTATTAAAAGTCAGTCATTTCACATATTACCGAGAAATTATGGTTTTTCTACTGTAACATATTTTCATTTAGGTGTTTTAGTAGGTATTTTAGTAGATATTGATATAATTTTATATACTGCACTGTGCTTTGTAATTA